GGCGGTATCTTGTCTCCGAACTTTAAAGGTCTAAATTACTCTTTAGCAGCCTCTTCGTGGTCTCTTTTCGTACTCACGTCCTCAACTCCTTCGAGATCCTTGTGCAGTTGCACTCGTCGTCGTTAGGGCTTAAATTGGAGGTCTCGGTCAGCAAAAAGTAGTTTATTACCTGGGTCCCTTCCTTATTTTCCTTCACTTGGCTACGGCGGTCGAAGAGTCGTAAGATCGCGTTATCAAAGAACTCGTCGTCTAATAGCTTGCGGATCTAGCTGATAGCTTTCTTGATCAATTCCGCGGCAACTTAAAAAGCATTGTCGATGTTCTCGTTTAAGTTCAAGCGGTCCAGAGCTGATTAATAGAAGTCTTAGCAAAAGTTAACGAAGGCTACGTCTATACTTATAAGGTTTTTAATCTCGACGACTTTAAGGCAGCGGCTTGCAATAGCTTTAGCTATTCTATACTCGAAGCTGGTTTTTTTTTTAATAGCTAAGGTTAGTGACGATTAGTTCTCGAGAAGGTCGCGTTGCACTTTAAGTTTAAAAGCTAAAAAAGAGCTTACGTCGATAGACTTGCGTAAAGTAGACATGATCGAAGCGATCAAGCTAGCGTTCGAAGGCCTATTAATAAAAGGTAATATTAATTTGTAAGACAAAGCTAATAATAATAAAAGGCGTGCAATAAGTGATCTAAGCAAAAAGGTTTTAAAAGCAAAAGGTTGGCTTGATCCCGCTATAATAGCTGACTTATCTAGCATTCGTAAACTACGATTTACAAATAGATTTTTCGGTTCGAGCTTTTTTTGTAAAACGAAAATCTAAATCCGAGTTTCGTCGGCAAACTCTATACGCTTTTAAGGCTTTTCGTATTCGCTTTTAACGTCGAAAGCTAGAATTAATAAGCTATATAATAAAACCGCCAATTTCAATTTCTTTAAAAGTCTTTCGTTTAAAATAGCAATCTTATCCTTTTATTTAGTGCTAGTCTTGTCTTTTACAGTCTAGCAAATATAAGCTTAAAACAAATGGAAAATAATCAAACAATAAGGACAATTTATATAAAACAAGTGAATAGCTAAGAAGATAAAATAAATAAAAAAAGAATAGAAAATATAATAAAAGGCAAGTCTAACATTAAGAGAATAAAAAGTAAAGAATACTTTTTTTTATTAAATAAAGAGAGTGATTATTAAAGGCATGTCCTTTTATAAAATAAGTATAAAACAAAAAGAGGATAGGGAAGCAGAGAAAAGAAAAGAATAAAAGTAAAGGAATCGATTAAAAAACAATTTTATAAGCTAATTTTTGCTGGTTCAATAGTATTAAAAGAATAATTTAAAAATTAATAGACTTAGCTTTAAAGTTCACTTTTAAGGCAAGCGGTTGACTTACGTCGTCGTCGTCGAAAGGCTCGTATTCGCTAAGGTTTAAGTTGATTAAAAAACTCGAATCTTTTTCTTCTTTTATTTCGTCGTTTTTAAAAGGAAAAAGAATTTGATCGCGGCGATAAAATCGTTTAAGGCGATTAGCTGCAAAAGTGCTTTTAAGCTTAATCTCGTCGGTTTTTTAAAGCTTGTAATATATTTTATCCTAAGCTTTAAAAACGATATAAGGTCTTAGCTATGTATAATTTAGCTTAATATCCGCGGATATATCGATGCTTCGTTTGACGTCGTAATATAGTATTAAGTTTTTTTTTAATAGGTTTCGACTTTAAGACTTTAACTTGTTTTTAAATAGCTTTAGCGGCAAATCGATCACCCTTTT